ATTTATTCTTTTTTATTCCAAATGTTAGCTCCTCGAAGTATTGACATATAATAGAAAATTATATGAGTATGAGCGTAGTGCGTGCACAAATAAAATGTAAATATTAATACTTTATAAAGCATAATCAAAACAACGATAAAAATCGACGACTTACAGTCATTGAACTAATATATCTATTTCAACAAATATTCTTCACACCAATTTTGATATATTTCACGTGCATTCAAGATTAAAGCACAAATAAAACCATAAACATATTTACCTGAAGACTTCTAACGGAGCAACTATGGAAACCATAAGATCTGCGTGGATGTATCCCATCTCTGTTAAAGACAAAGAAAACGCCCATCCAAATCGCAAGATAAAATCTTCGACTATTGCAAAATAATAATAATACTGAAAGATAATAAAAAGTGCGATAGCTCATTAATTAAATAAATAATTAATATATTATTTGCTATTAATCATTGATGTATGTATTGATGTCATGTATATAATAGAATTTAATACAGAGGAAAACATACAGGTGACGAATAAACTATCTCTTCCCTAAGGAATTTGTTTTCTCCAGCACTGCTATCAAAGAGACCCCAATCCAATTTCACATCCCACGTATAAGTAAAACAGGAACTCACGATACTGACTGTCAGCCACAAGTAAAAATAAGGATTCTCAGTAGATAACGTATAGTACTCTATTTCGTGAAATAATTAATTTTATTAAAAGATAATACTCGATATTATATGTTATCTGAATAAAAGACTTACTGCTGTTTATTAAGTGCAAATAGGAGAAAATAACCACAAAGAAGCTTGTTGCATACTTGACCGCATTTAATAAATGTGGAAAGGTCTCTTTTGTATCTCGGTAACGCCTGAGGCATTGCGCAAATCGAAACCACGCCGGTAAGCATACCACAAACGGTCTCATCGATAATTCACGCATTATGCAGGTTTCCGTATCTATTCGAGGAAAAAAAATATAGGTGAGCTAGATATCGATTAAAGATATAAATACAAATTTAATGTAACACAACGAGAAGTAAAGGAACTCGTAAGGAAAATGTTATGATTCAGTGTAAATGATTAGTTATATCTATCCAGTTACTGACCTGTAACATCGGTCCAAGAGGAGTTCTGAATATAGAAACAGATAAAATACTGAAAGTCTAAAAAGACTGTATGAAGAGAATTGAGTTGATCAGCCAACCAGAAATCCGCGAAACCTACATAAAAGAATGGAGCGCAGAAGACGCGACCTAAAACACGTAATGTCCAGAATCTCGCTTCGTGTCGCAAAGTCTTGGTAGGATTAAATAAAAACAGTGCCAACAGTGCGTAAAACAGCATCTGCAAAGAGCTGCAATCAATTTCTTGAGATAAAGGATTTCGTAGGCTTATGATTTTCTTGAAAGATCAATTATTCGGTCGCACTTTAAAATAGATTTCTCGCGAAAAAACATACAAAGATTTTAATATAAATATCTTACTGGTTGTACAAATGGTGGTATACCCAATGTATCACTGTATAAAAAACCCAAAATAGACATGGACCAGACCAGGCCGAGTATAGTTGCCATTTCGATAATGTGCTAAAAGTAAATGCATTATGTATTCTGTGAATTGTGATATCAAAGTTTATTCTTAATTGTAAAATAAATTAATACAAAATAATTATTAATTAAAATTAATCATTTAATACAATTCAATATATGCTATTGAATAAAATTAAAATAGTATAGTAAAATTAAAACTAATTGATAAATCTTAATGTGACAAGTCACATCCTATTAAAACTTTAATCTTTAAAATATCAATTTTATCTATCACAAAACCTGTTCTGATAAATGATTGCGTGGATCAAGTTCGAATATTAGCACATGATTTACACCAGAAGATCTCCAGCCATAAACATTGATTCCCATCAGAAACAAAAACTCTATCATAAGAAGTGGTCCACGATAAATTCGACACAATACCGTCCAGTTCTCCTTCTTTTTGTATCGCATAGCTAAAAAATATAAAGTTAATATAATGCAAAAAACAAGGAAATTCTTTATTTTACTTACCAGATAATATCACAGCTATAAAAAGTATAATAAACGCGCCAGAAAAAAGACCAACTTTAAACGTAATCCAAGGAGAGAGGTGCTCTCCGAGCGGAGGCACTCTAAGCCGTTTCATGGCTCTTTGACGATCGCCATGCTCCAGATCTCGAGTGACTACAGCCTCGGTTTCCGCAATGAGTCTATCTATATCCTTACGCGTATGGAAAATCGCTGTATCGACATGCTCTGCACGCCATTTGCTACCAGAGTCTACATTTAGAAGCTATAAAAAATATCATTATATAGAAATATATATCTTCCCCTTAATTAATTTTTCGTTCACATAGGACTTATACAATTCCTTTAATTTTTTTATATTTCAATTAATTATACATGAAATATTTATTAAAATTATACATGAATTTTTTTAGTTAATCTACATACCTTGTCATGTTTCTTCAAAATCTTTCGAAATCCAGTAAAATTTAAATCCTGATAATTTTGGAGTAAAATGAGAAAGAGATAGAATTCAGAAAAGGCTAATTTCAACTCTTGAAGTTTTCGTGCTGATACTGGTTTCTTGTGAAGAATGTGACTACGATAGCGTGTCTTACAACTTTGGACATCTTCGGAAACCGACAAAATTTCGCTTAGTTCATTGTTAAGTGTAGCGAATCTACGTGTAGCCTCTGCTAGCTTTTCTAAAAATAAAGCATATTTCTTATTCATCTTCTTTATATTTAAGATTATTAGTACCATTGGCTAGACTATTATTATAAATTATATCTTTGTCTCTTACAGACAAAGATATAATTTAAAATATGAATTAGTCTTACTTTCTATTAGTAAAATATGATATTTTATTCTATTATAAAATATGAATTAGTCTTACTTTCTATTATTACTATTCTTACCAGAATAGAAGGTATTTATTTTAGCCAGCTCCTTATCGCAATAATGGAAAAACTTTTCGTCAAACTTGCCATAGAAACTATCTAAAACGTATGGTTCGCTTACATCTGCCGATGGAGCCTGCTCTACTGCAGCGTACAACAGAGCCTTCATTTCCTATGCATTATATGGCATAAAATTTCATATGAAATTCTTATAATCTTATATCTTCTAATTTAATTCTTATATCTAAAACAATAAATGTTAAAGAACAAAGAGAACTGGAGGGAGAGAGGAGGAGGAGGAGAGAGAGAGAGAGAGAGAGAGAGAGAGTGAAACAAAAAAATAAGGCAAAGAAAAATAAGCAGTCTTGAAAATATCCATAATTTTATTGTATATATAATATATATACAAAGTACATAAATATGACAAAAAATTTAAATATTGTATAAATATAACATTTTTTGTTATTAAAAGCGCACCTCGTAGTTGATATACTGCTTTCTCCATTCCGGTGTGATATGCGCGCTTAAATGTTCGGCAAATTTCATACTGAGGAAGAAAAGATACAAGAGGAAGAAAAAGACGTCGTGTCAATAGTTACATGACTGTTCCGTGATACTCGAACTGACATACGTGCGAATAGGTTTGTAGCGAATTACTTTTAAAGCCTCAGATACTCCAAACGACGCATGTTTCGTAGATATTTGTAGGTTATGTCGCGTCATAACCTATGCGCGGTTTTTTTTACAAAATCTGGTACGAAAAGCGATTTTTTTTCTCAATCTTGTTACGAGATATTACAAACTATTTTTACATACACAACTGTACTTCTATTTCTATATGAGTTTTATATCTATATATTAGAAAATGTAAAAAAATTTCTTTGGAAATTTCTTACAATACATTATAAATAATTTTACGATTCACATGTTATACATACACGTAATAATGCACATGAATCTTACAGTATATATTTTTTGTTTTTATACAGATATTCATTTTAACGAATAATATGCCGAGAAGTACAAATTATTAATTGTTAGATTACAATTTTTTATTGCTGATATGGTGAGGCTAATTATGTCGTAAATGAATTACAATTTTTTATTGCTGATATGGTGAGGCTAATTGTGTCGAGAATGCATTGCACAAGTTTTATACCTTTACGATATGTAAGTACAATATAATGTTTACAAATCATATAAAATCATATTTTTATATGTATTTAGAAAATTTGGAGTAATAACGAGATCTTTATTTAGTTTTCAGCAAAACCAAAAGTTATACTTGATAATGCAGTATCTACTTTACTGTCTAATAATGAAATGAAACATAGGTTTCATCCAGGTATTGTTAATCCTAGAACACCAATATTCCCACAATGGTCAATAAAGGAAATACGAAATATTTTGAAAGGTATAGATTATATATGCATAGTTCTTAAGTTTACAATGATTATAAAACATTTTATCATTGATGATTATTTCATAATCTATAGAGAAACAAATAGTCCTGAAAGAAATTAAGGAGAGTGCAAAGAAATTAACTCATCATTTGAATAAGCGTCATCCACCATTAGAACAATCTGAGTTGACATCAAAATTACTGAAAGTAGAAGAACGTTTAAATATTAATAACCATGGCGAGAAAATATTGATAGAGGATATAAATTTAAAGAAAAATGCAAAGGCTAGACTGATTTTGAAACAAAACATTTATAACTGGCAACCAATAAATTATGATAAGTTTACTTCCTTGACATATCTAGTTGGCAGATGTGTCCAAAATTACACGGTTTCGCATAAAATTTTTGATGAAATTAAATCACGCGACAAAAATTTTAAACCCACGACATTGTTTGACTTTGGCTCTGGTATTGGCACAGTCATGTGGTAAGTATTGCAATAGATTTGGAAAAATCTAAAATGTAATACGAGATTAATTAATATAATATAAAAAAAAATATTTTCTATAGGACAGCATCTGAAATTTGGCCGAATACATTAAAAGAATATTTTTGTGTTGAAACATCGGAATCTATGATTGAATTATCAGAAAGATTAGCGAAAGTTGCCAAGCCTAAAATCAAAGACGCTTTCTATCGGCAATATTTTCCTCTTTCTACGAATGTAAGAATAATATAAAATTATTAAAATTAAAAATATTAAAATATATATTAAAATTTTTGTCGACGAAATGTAATTTGAGATTTCATTTTTAGCGAACTTATGATATTGTAGTGAGCGCGTACTCTTTGTTCGAGTTGCCGGGTATGGAATCGCGTCTTGATATAATATTAAAGCTTTGGGCAAATACTGAGAATTATTTGGTTATTATAGAAGAAGGAACCAATGCAGGTTTTAAAGTGAGCATATTAAACATAGATTTATTTTCTATACATATTTTATTTGTAAAATTTTCAATCTTTCTTTGTAGCTAGTAAACGAAGCAAGAGATCTCGTTCTCAAATACGCAAACTCGAAACATAGGCGCGGGACACAATTCGCCCATGTTTTCGCACCTGTAAGTATCAATTAAATAAAGACGGATGGTACATTGGTCTTATTATTATCACATTTTAGTGTCCACATGATTTCGAGTGCCCAAGACGCGCTACCGATAATACTCCGTGCAATTTTAGTGTTTTATATCATCCATTGCAATTTCTGGGTGGTCGGCAACACATACCAGAATTATATTCCTACGTCATATTAAAGAAAAGTAAGTAAGTAAGTAAGTAAGAAAGAAAACATAAATCATTTTAACAATCATTTTAACATTAGATATGAAAAATGCAGTAAAAGTTGTATATTCGCATTAATCAACGAGCATTTTATCAGGATGTTAATTTTTTTTTAATATTAAATACATTTTTATAAAGATATTTTGATGAAAGATTTTTTTATTACAGCTAAACGTTCTGAAGACGACGAACAATGGCCAAGAATTGTGCGAAGTGTATTAAAGCGTTCTAATCATACGATTTGTCGCATGTGCACCGCCAAAGGCGAATTGAAGGAAGAAATATTTACGAAATGCAAACACGGAAGGTATAATTTAATTAATTTGGTGCTTAAATATAATATGATTACATGAAATCTTTTTATTACCAGACATATGTATCGTTGTGCGAGAGTGAGTGAATGGGGCGACAGATTACCTCTGCATTACGAACAGCAGCAAGAAAATCAAGAAACTGATATAGTTAATGAAATAATTCTTAAAAATGAAAATACATAGAGTAAGGAAATAAAGTTTTATTAAATTTTATAACCTACTGTTATTTTGTATGTACATACTTCTTCTAGAATATATTACTTCTCAAATTGGATGAAATAAGTATAAACACTTGATATAACGAAACAGTAAAAATATATATTCAATAATAAAATTGTCAGTCCTGAGGAAATTGTAATAAATATAGAATAGAATATTTATTTACTCTAATATCTTATATATCCAGCCAAGAAAGGATTATTTAGTTTGCAATAATTTGCTTTAAATCACTCGTCCATTCACACCAACTATACGATCTATCTAAATTAACATCCTCTATCTTTGACTAATCTTTGACTAATCTTATTCTAATTTAATACAATCTTAGAAAACAGCCTTATAATAAAACTGCTTAAGTTGGAACATGTATACATTCTTCATGTATTTACATAATATATGCTTCACGCTAAAGAATTTATTACAATTCTTCCAGTATTTTGGTTACAATATGGATGAAAAGAAATTCATCGATGAAAGTCTGTACAATCTCTGCTGCCAGTCTTTAAAATCTTCTACAAGATCCTTTTGTCTGTTATCGAATGTAGTCTTCAAATTAGCAAACAGAAACATCTGTATCTTTCTTTTCATACTCCCTAGGAAAGTTATTAAATAATAATCTCTACGTATTCATAATAAAATAACAATTTTAATATAAACAGAATTCTCTATTTTACATTGATTTTAATTATCTTAAATTATAATACATAATTTGTTTTTGCTGTATTACACTGAATATCACCGAGATATTCATTATGAGTCAGAATATTATGAAAATTTATGATTTTTTTTTGTTTTGGTCGGAAGTTAATTAAGGGCTCGCAGGTACATTACATTGATGCTAACATATTGGTTTTGCGAGAAGAGTATGAGACGAAGAGGGGCATTTAAAAGCGGACTGAACGTTGGTCCACGGCCAGTCACGCTTATACAACGGACGAGAAAATTTCTCCAGATGCAAGGTAAGGTAAATTTAAAGTTCGTGAAAGGGAGAGCATTAGTGCCGTGCGCTGATTTTTCTTCGCCGATTCTCTTTCAGTGTCAAAGTCTTTCTCTCGCGGGCATTTAATGGGGTGACGATCACATAACATAGCTTCCTTTATTTGTTCGATGCGCAAAATATTCATTAATTTAAAGAAGAATATAATCAATAAATATTATTGCTTGAGAAATTTAAAAATAAATGTTATAAAGATATCATCAGAGTTTATTATTATATAATATCAAAGAGGTATAATAATCAAATTTTTATGTTATAGATTTAAAAATATTATTTAAAAAAGTATTTTTGACACTTTTTTTTCTTTCAAATTTATATCATATAGATATATAAGATATATAGATGCTGATACAAGATATATGCATTTTGTATTTCATTATTAGCTTTTTAAAAATTGCAATTATCAGATAAAATTAATAAATAAAATGTAAAGTATATAAATTGAAGCACATGCAAGTATTTATAACAATTATCTCTCAATTAATTTGCGATGTGTACGTATAGTGATTAAAGGAATTCTATATTGGATGCAAATTTTTATGTCTAGGTAAGCGGAATCGAGGTAAGATAAGAATTCGAAAGTGACTATGACGAATATTTTGCGTGCAATAAAAGTGCTGTTAAACATACCTCAATTACGCAACAAGTTATGTGATAATAAGGGTGACGGCGCATTTGCGCGAATAATGTGCCGGTTTTTCCGTATGCAACTTTCTCTCACAGAGTACAAGTGTTTCACTTTCTTCTCTGAGACTCGTTTGGCACTGATTACACGTGTATTTATGTCAATGTATATGTGCATATCCGGTCACAAATAAATATAAATTGCACAAACTTAATAAAACCTAACAGAAATGAAATGAAAAAAGACTCAGAGAAACATGTCTTTTTTTGTTAAATTAACAAATAAAATCGAAAACTTATTTTTTACGAAGATTTCTATGTACAATACTGCATATATCTTATCTAGATATAAAATTCAGAAAGAACGTGAAAAATTTTACGTACTAGACTTTTTGTTATAGTTCTCAATATTCTTAATATGTCTTTAATATATTCTTAATATCGTTAATATCGTCCAGTGGACTTCACGATTCTTTTCTCTTTTCGGAGCGAATGGGCGAGCTCCGATACAGTATAAAAAATCATTCTGAATCTCATAAACTAAAATAATTTTTACGAGCTCAAGCTCCGTGGACGCCAATCTGCCGAACACGTGAACTTCAAACTGTTGAGGGCTTTCCGAACTAACAAATAAACTATAAAACCCGATCGAACTGCAACTAAGCTAAGACTTGACAGCCATATGTCGAACGCAAAGAAACTCTTAGTGCACTGACAATGACGAAAAATCATACATTGTCAAAATAAGTATCTGTTTTCTTTCATGGCAGGCTGCGTACTCGAATAGCTGCCTTCGTGGCGTCAGTTATTTAATCCGCCGACCACCCATTTAGCCACAAATATTAAGATAATGCCATATGTTAATAGAGACTCAGACCCACTACCTAACTATCTTCCCTAAAAACCCTCCCCGTACCCATCAGACTCTTTTTTCAGAAAATTTAGAATTACGATGGGCTAACCCCCCTCAATTCCTCGCTAATTCCTATTCGTTAAAGACTCGTGAGATACTTTTAATTTCGAATCGTAGTTCCACCCCTGCGACAGCTTTTTATTAA